CACTTGAGTTTCATTCTTTTATAGGTTTTCAAAGAACATGGGCAAAGTATGTAAGAAACACGGAAATGCAAACATACTGCTGTAATTAGAGCATATAAAATGAATATGTAATTATTACAACTAGTCAGGATAAAAATGCAAATTGCTGAATTATAAGTAGTTTAAAAATTCCCAGGCAGGTTCACTGTATCTGTAATAGTCTTTAAGACAACCAGCTAGTAAACTTTTGCAAGTGAAAGAAAAGTTTTATTTCCAAAAGCAGTAACTATTTTTTTTTCTGTAGTAAATAGAACTCCATTTTAAAGTCTACCACAGCTGTAACTGGCAAAAAAAAACCAAAACAAAACAAAACAAAACAAACAAAAAAAAAAAACCAAAGCAGAACATTTTATTTATTCACCTCATATAAAATCTGCTTTGAAGCTAAAGGACTCCACCAAAAGCCAGCTATAAACAAAAGCAGTAATTAACATAAAACAGCTCTTTTTGGCTCTAGTTAATCTGCCATAAAACAATAATGATGAAAAACCAACCTACAATTAAGAGAACAGTTGTTGCCTTGGCACTAAAATACTGAGGAGAAAATTTTCTTTGATATAGGCAGAGTACTGAATATGCATACTAAAAACACAAAGGGCAATTTGACAGTAGACTAGCTTAAAAAAGTAGACTCTTGTTCACTCCAAGATTTCCCAATTGTAATTAATTGCATGACTGGCGTGCTTAAGCCTCCACTGAAACGCCATGTTTCAGTTTCTTCCTCATTCATTTCAGTATGAGGTTGGACTGGAGAGACAATCAAAAAATTTGGAGTGCTAGAAGTATTGAAATACTGCTCCTGAAGTTTAAAGGATCCAAGAACACATTCAGCCACCAGCAGTCACTGTAAGGTAGTTTTGAACTGTTAACTATAGCAACACACAATGATAACTAAAGTTGAAAAAACAGCATTACGTATTTATAAATAAATCCATTCCTAACTGTATTTCTAGAGCAAAGGCTTGTTACTGAGGAAGCAATTTATCAATTCTAAAAGGTGATTGCAACATACATAAGTAAATACAACATTTTCATACAAAATTAAATTTCATAGTGTTTTCCCCCCTCAACATTATCATCCCTATAACTGTACTACAAAAGAAAAAACACTGTGTCAAATTTCATTACATTTCCTACTCAAAGTTTTTTTTATTGATTTCCCAAGACTAAAAATTCCAAAAAGAACAGTTTAAGGTCTTTTGAAAGTTTATTAAGAAAGCAGTCATCTAATTGTGTAGTTTGTTGTTTTTTTTTTCCCACAACAAAGAAGTGCACCTTTGGCATGGGCTGAAATATTCATGCTATCAGTCCAAATAATGAATTGCAGTATGGACTTAGCACAGTTAGATACTTGGATGTGACACATTGCATGGTGAAGCTCATACTGTCCTGTCTCCAGTAGCAATACAGTATTGTTAGTGCTACTTCATCCACCTCTCTGGATTCTGCTCAGGAGATCTCAGTTTGTGTGAGCTAAAGGCACTGTCTCACATCACTCGTAGATCACTTCCCTTGTTTAAGTGATGCACATTGTGAAATTCATAAACTGGACAGGACTTGAATTGAAAGGACATTCTCAATTAATTGAAATAAATATAAAACTTGTGCAAGTTTTTATGCCCCTACCCAGCACCAAGATTTGGCTCGGTGTTTGGCTGTAGCGTAGTCAAATTCCACTCACTTTTGGCCTCAGTAAGGCTGTTAGCCACAGCACCAGCACCTACTTCCTTAGGAGTGTGACTCAATTAGTGACGTGAGCACTGACAGTGCCTTTTCATATTGTTACAGAATAGTTTGTTCAAAATAGTTTGTTGTTAAGTCACTGTTTAAGCTAAAACATGCTGAGTACTGTTGCTAAGCTGAATCATTCCCCCTATGCATTTCCCAAGCCTAGCGTCTTGCTCAAAGTTGTTCTTTGCTGCCATGTAGAAACACACATGGTATTTTGACTTCTGAAGATAATTAGGTACTTCAATTTCTCAGAAAATAATGAATTGTTCATTGCAACCTTCAAGAGCAAAAGTAAAAGTATAAACCAGAACAGTAACGTTAAAGGCAGTAAAGAACTTAAAGCAAGTTCTCCAGAGGTAATTCTTCAGGTAAGAGAGCTCAAAGTGGCACAGCTGACAAAATCAAAATTCACCACTGGGCAACAGACATTTAATAAAAATTCTGAATCATCAGAGGGGTTGAACAGCTAGCCTTGGCCTAGAAACACTGTGACAGTGAAGAGGAGATGAACGGGGACAGACATGGAGCAATTATGCTGGTCATTACTTAGGTGAGAAGATTAGGCCAGTCCATGCTGTACTACAGGTATTTATTATGCTACAGCAAAATTAGGGATGAATCCCTTCCCAATTTCAAGAAAATTACGTGGCACAGAGAACTTTATGTTCTAGTCACTTCACTCAATTTCCCCACCATGCTTCTTCATAGGAAGTGGTAACTGAGTGTCAATACATTGCTCTTCTACTGGACAACTACAAAAACAAGCTGTTAACAAGACGGAGCTATATAAAAACACAGTGAAAATTAACATCAAAGAGATTTCTGTGTAGGTGGATTTGGATGAGTGCTATTTATCTCACCAGATCATCCTCCTCAACATAACACTGCAACCAGTCTAGTGCTGAATATGCTTAACAGAAAATAAAGTAACTGCACAAAACAAAGTACATACATTAATAAATTGACATTTGTTATCACTGGACTATGTGAACACATATCAAGGTCAGATTTTTCTTGTTACCAAAGTCTTAGAGGATAGATGGAGAACTGTGAGCATTGCATTTCAACCAAACTAAAGGCTGTTATTTTTGCTTTTCTGCAATATGCTTTCTAGCGAGGACACTGCATCAATTAGCCTGCATTTGTTGAGTCATCTCTTTAAGACTTTAACCTCTCAGAATCTGTTTCTGTATAAAATACAGTTCTTAATTCATTACATTGTATTTAAAGATTTACACAGTATAAATTTCAGCTACTGCAGTAAGCATCCTGACAGTAAAAAAAAATTGCTTTAGGCAATCAGTTACCTTTGGGTTATAGGACTATCGTAGCAGGGAAAAAGGGTTCAGTTACAAGTATATCAGCTTCACATTTTACTGTGGTATTTCCTGCTGAATACACCAGAAGATGCAACTTCAAGAAGCTGAATTACCTTTTATTGCATAACTGGAAACTTTTTTCAAGAACTTGTGTATACAATTTTGAAGAAGTATGTGCCAGTGATGTGAAATATCGAGTGTAGAGACTGACTATCAAACCAATGCAAGTGTATACAGAAGAGCATATGCTGCACTTTTAAACTCTCATGTCTGTGATGCACAAGAAGAGCTCTGTTAAGACAATCTGAATGCATTCTTTGTTATATTGTGGATTGCTTGCTACAAAAAAAAAATGTTTTTTGCATTGTATTTTCAGGAATGTTAATTTCTCTTGTTACAATCTTCACTTGGATCTGCTTTGTTGGGCCTCAGATTACATATTAATGTCACTTAAGAAAAGTGATAGATTTGAGCATTTATAAAGTGCCTTGTAGAACAACATTTAACACTATGGCAGTGCTCGACTTTTTGCTACTTTCAATACTTGTACTGAGCTTTATTACACAGCTGTAACATAACAAGAAGGAATTCTATGATTCTGTCTTCTGTGCTAGCTTTTATCTAGTGGAAAACAAGCTCTACTCTACTTTTATGACACTTTCATATACATTTTGTAGGTAGTTGTAGTGTGTACATGCTAAATTCTATAACAAATTTAAAGTCTAAATCAAGGATAACTTTTTTTGCCAGAACATGAGCTTTGAAAAAGAGCATAAGTGAAGTAAATAGAGCCAGAAGTACACAGCATTTTTGCTGGTGCTCCCTGCTTACTTTGTGATACTGTTTTCCAAGCTCACTACTACAGATAAGAGGTTCTGTTCAGCTTTTAATTCATCACATATTGTCTTATATACCAACTGTGACAGTTACTTTTGAAGTAGTTAGTCACAGTAGGCATTAATTAAGCTTCCAGATGCTTAAATTTTGGATGTTAACAAGCTCACCTTACTTATAACTTTTGCCACTAGCAAACTCAACCCATGCAGAACGATGCCCTAGATCTCAGGAGTTCTTTAGCTTTTCTCGAAAGCCTTGAGTCCTGTAAAGAAAACAGTGTATTAACAGAAAACTGTTTGAATAGCATCCCTGTCATCTCAAATAACCTGAAAACTTTACTCTTATTGAAAAAGAAATGGAATTACTGGGGAGTCCAGACTTACTTTGTGATGAACGATGACATTTAACTTTTCTTTCATTGTGACCAAATGGCACTGTGATCACTACAGTACATAAGGCTTCAGGCACATCTGTCTGAAACTAGAAATACTACAAGAATTATTCTAATGCAAGCAAGTATTTCAGGCAAAAAAGCATCTACGACAGCCACAATGCCTGCTCAAATCAAATTTGTTACAGAACTTAAAGTGGCAACACTGTACTGAAAATAAGAAGATAACAAACACTTAGCTTGACATATTTATTTTTCAAGGGTAATAAATAAATGTAAATACACAAATTTGGAAAAAATCTTAGTAACAGAATGTTTTTAAACAACATTCTGCCTTTAAGTCTTCATTACTGTCACTACTGAAATATTCTGTAATTTGCTTAATGTAGACAAGTCATTATGTTGGTGATCCTCCATCACACTAGTTTGTTTGAATAAGTTAGGCTGCTGCAAAGGAAAAAAAGTGGTCAACCTTTGCTTTGATGTAGAAATTTATCTAAACTGCATATATTATGTGTTAAAATGACTTTTCTGGGCATGACTTTACTAGAGAATATAGAGAATTTTTTTTACATTTACAATTTACATATTAGAGACCTATCATTCATTACTTCATCTTTATAAAACAAAAATTATAACAAAATTGAAAAACAGAAAAGAAAAAAAAACATGGAATAAAAAAGTGGTAAAAACTGGCTCTTCATTTAATAAGACATTCTTCCTTTACACATCTAATTTTCATTCTAGGATCATCTCAGCAGTTCTGCTTGAAATAGTTTTAAAGCAGCTTTTGTTGTCAACTTGTGTTTAGACAGCCTCTCTCTTACAGACATTATCCAAAGCCCTGACTGCAGGAATGTCATATCCCACCCAGCTACTTCAGCTGTCCCAGACTCGTGCAAGCAATTGGCTTGTCCAGGAGAAGCAGCTGTTTTCAAAAGTATCTACAAATTGTGAAATACAAATTTTATCAAAAAGGTTCATCAAGAAAATAACTGTTACTGACTTAACATAAGAGGAAGAGGAGTTGTGGTCCCCTCAAAATTCAGTGAGCATCCCATTCCTGTATTCTATAGATACCAGAAGATGCAACATCTTTGTTTGGTTCCCATAAATTAGAAAAACCTGGTTTCCAAAAATCCTAAATTAGCTATTTAAAACAAAATATTACACCTGGCCGCCTTCCCAAACTATCTCAAGAGATTAGCTTAGCTTTTCTCTCACCCTTCTTAAGTGTGCTTTGTAAGGATATATGATTTAGAAAACAAAGTATGTATTTAATTACATTACACTTGCTCAACTGTACAAGTGAACGTGTTAACGCCATGTTAAAGTTCAAGGTACTTCTGGAAAAAAAGGCAGATAGATAGTTATTTTAACTCTGCATTCTTAGACAGAATAAGGATTATTATGGACCTTCGTGCCCTCTCGCTATTTACCTATCATATGGAGAGGTCAATAAATAAGTTCCTATCTGGTCCAGTTTACCTACAAGAGGAAAAAAATACTTAAAGGAAAAGAAATGACCTATAAAATTACTTGTTTAACCCTGATAACATCTGAGTTGTCATAACCCAGTTTGTAATTGCAAGAAAAACAAACAATATTCATCTTGCTCATTAATAAATGCCCCATTTTTTAATAACAATTTTTGTATGTGATCAAGTCAAGTATTCTTGGGGCAAGAAAGCTGGCAAAGAGATGCAACAACAGCACTAACACAGTATAAATCTGGGTTCAAAAAACCAAACATACTAGATCCAGAAGCAAAGATATCTGGACACATTGAGGAGGCAACACCCATCTGTTATTTGGGCGCTGATGTTGTGAAGACTATACCCAGCCTAAGATATAGTTTCATACCATGAAAGTAACACAAGATTCTGTTGTGCTAGTGTACATACTTTAAGAAAAGAGTCTTAAACAAAACCAGTTACCTTCTTTGTTTAGAGTGGAAGATAAAATAGCTTACTGATGTAATACGTAATGGATGTCACTATGACACAAAACTTGCCATAATTTGTGTTTTCAGCTACAAGGTGCAGTATTTCTTAAGACTAACTCAAAGCACAGCCACATCCAACTGTGATTTGGAATTCCATCTCAAGCAGCATACACTATGACTTTGAAGAAAGTCTATATGATTGTAACAAAGTCACCCATCTTCTCCTGAAACGTGAACAAAATCTGTGGGGTAATCAGGCACAGGCGGCATGTAACGGGTTTGTCTTCCTTTGTACTCCTTGTTTTTGCTTCTGAGGACATGCACTTGGCTCCATGCTGTCATCCATTTACTGTTACAAGAGAACACAGCTATTCTTCTCTTTTTCTCTCTCTTTCTCTCGAGGCTCCTTACGTTTGCGTTCATTGCTCCCAGATTGCCTTCCACTTGCTGGAGAAGGAGCACCTTGCACCTGCTACGTAGAAAACAAACAAACAGCATTCTGAATAAAACACGATGCTGTAATTATAGTTTGAACAGTTTCAAGTATTACACTTCCATGAACTTGAATTTAACTAAAACGCAAACAGCAGAACACAGATAGAAGGTCTTTCAGTATGAATTCTACAAAGCCCTCATGGAAGCTTATTTCTGAAAAACAAAATCAACTGAAAATACATTTAAAGTCCTGTGTGTCTCTTCTATTGTGCTTATATATTCAGATCAGTTCTTCCAATAATACAATTTAGAATCAAACATTTTATGGCACTTCAATATTTACTATACTGGAAAATTTTCCCCATTTCATTTATAAAAACATAATCTACATTTGAGAAGTTGTGGACTCAAAATGCTGACTGATGACTAAATGTATTAATGCAGAGTTTTTTTTATAGCCCATTTCCAGAAAGGACTGCAGAAGTTGGTGGGTGGTATACAACAAAACACAGCAGAAGTTTTGCTACTTCATTTAATTTATCTACTATCCACTCACAGCTGCAAATGCCACTACATCCTGTTAAGGAGATTTTTTCTGCCATTCTGCAATCAGCAGAAGTGAATCTCTCCTTGGACCCCGTTCACATCTTACGAGCAACTACTACTACTGATATTAAAGCAATAAGCTTAATATAGCAGAAATAACAGATCTTGTAACTGTCAGAAATTCTCGTTGTGTGTTTAACAATTAGTGGCAACAGAGGGTTCTGAATTGGCACAGGCCATCCAAAGATTCTTCAGATTGCTTCTATATACAAATACGTAATGCATATATTTTGATACAAGAGTGTGTGTGTTAAGAAAGTCTCAATTAGTTAAGAAATCCCTGATTCCAAAACAACTTTATTACTGTCTCTTGCATTAAAGTTCAGTTATATGACAACTTATACGCTTGTGAATGACATTTTCCAAGCATTCTGAATGGAACTGCTCATGGAGAGGGGGGCTGGGAAGGCATACTACTAGCAACCATTAATTTCCTATTTTGAAACAGGACAGAATAAATTCACAAGGTGTCACAGACTAAAAATAGTAAAACCACAACCTTCCACAAGACAAAATGAAAACTATCATTGAAAAGCTTCTGCTTGAATACTGTTTTATAAATTGTGTATTTTTAATACAATCTTTGTAACCTAAAGTAGTAATGCATCCCATCATTTTAACTTAAACTGCATAAATGCAACTTTGATTTAGGTTAGAAATAAAGAATTTAATTAGCAGCAACTGCCATATCTGTGTGCATGGTCTTAAGTTCTAAAGGGCTCTTAACAAATACTGCATATAATGTGAACAGCATCAGTCCTAATCATCTGAGACATTTATGCAGATGTGTCTATATAAGTATGAAGTTAATCCTCATTATAACTAGTGGTCATATTCTGTGATAATGCTTCCTTACCTGGACCTGAGCAGCTGCTTGCTCTTGTTCCTGATAGTACTGAGAAGCTCGCCTATCCTCCTCTTCTTGGAGCTTCTTTGCTAGCTCTAGATCGCTGATTCCTTCTGGTATCTGTTCCCAGTTAATCTCTTGATTTTGCTGCTCTTGTTGTAGAGACAAAGCCATCAGATAATCCTAAACAGTAAACCTGTATATTAATGCTTTTTCATATAGAAAAGAGCCAAGTCATGTCAAGTAAATTTTTCAACAAGGGCAGCCATCCAGTACCGTTCCCTTTACCCTGGCCATCTACAAATGAAGTTCTGTTTCAGAACCTGATTGTAATCTGCAGAAATGCTGGGGGAGGGGGAAGGAAGAATAAATACAGTTACTTTACAATTTTCCCCTCAGTGTTCCTCTGCCTGAAAAAAACCAAAAACCACAACTGCTTTCAGGTTTAAATTCTTTTACCTTGACCACAGTAAAAGGACAGTGTTTAGCTCATGCTAGTTCTAGATAGAAGTAGTGATTTGAATGCTGTCACAGATAGAGCACATTACAAATAAGAACTCTGTGATTTGTGATCAACACATCATCTGTCCCCATTGGACTGAACAGTGTTGAGTGAGAATCAATAAGAAACACTGATTCCTAAACCAAGAAGAAAATAATCAAAAATCTTTTTGATGTGTTCAAACAGACAGACAGCACTGACTACTCAAGATACTACTAGCCCTGTTACCTCTACTAGATTTATTCCACAAAAAGATGTACAGTGTTGGAGTCTTTTCAAAAGCATTTGCTTATTCACATCCATTTTAAAGTATTTGATAAAAATAACAGGGATTATGAATTCATTTTCCTTATTTAGAATGTAAGATTTACAAGTGCTCTTGCTATGCATTTGTGTGCTAGCACAAATAGGTCTTGTCTCAGACAGGACTTCCACAAACTACTACTTGTTAAAAACAAACAATGATCACCATGTGCAATCTGCTATAGCTCTGACCTACATTCAGCAAAGGGGGCATCACAACACAAAGTTCACTTATGACAACGTACTGAAATGAATTTATTAGACAGGCTTATAGTTTCAATACTTCTCCTGATTCCATACTTAAGGCAGATGTGACATTTCTACTCAAAGTTGTTTGAAGAAAGGGATTCTCAAAGATTAAAAGCAGGTTTTCCAAACTATTCATGGTATCCAGTCCTCCTCTCCCCTGAAGTCACGAGAGTACTACAAAGCAGCACTTTTGAGAACCTCACTGCAGGTGTATAAGGCATTCTTTTCTAGTTCATAGGTTCGTAACATGTATGGCTAGAAATACATGGTATTTACTAAGTATAATCAGAAGAAAACAGAAAAATACAGTAGAGAGGCACAAATCCAGTACTTGATCTATTTGATCCTGCTGCCCTCTGTAGACAGTTTCAGGGTCTGAAGGAGGCCGTAGGTGGAACTCGGAGTCACAGAAATTTCCATCACCATCCACATTGTGCAAGCTTTCCCAGACAACTTTCTCTTCTGTAAGAAAACCTTGGTCTGTTACCAGCAGGTAAAGTTGACCCTAAGCAGAAAGATGGGAAAACGTGTAAACCTACAGAAATGACTTTTCAGTGTGATAAATTAGCTAATAATTTTTGCTAATTATAACTGTTTCATGCCAGTAGAACATTAATTTTTATTTTTTTAGTGAAATATAAATTTAAATGGCTCCATATATAGCATTAAGAGACTAGATACTAGTATTCACTGCTAAAATAGCAACCATATGTAATTTCTGTATTACGTATCTTACATTTTTTTCCCCTATTACATTAATTTATACTGAATATTGAAATTTAATGTAAAGAAGCAAACATAACCCTTGTCAACTCCTTGGAAACACATCTGAGAAATAGGACTTGAGATTGACAATGTTGATTGTCCCAGGACAAATCAAGTTAAATTTGAAAGGCGAGATCTGGAGACAAAGGTGATCTTTGCAAATAATCCAAGAGGCATTGGCTCAAAATGGCTTTATCTCAAAATTTAATTGTGTCTTACGATGATTTTTGTTTTGCTTTTTTAAATGCAAGCTGGGGTATAGTTCAACTGGGGGAAAAAAAACGATTCTTGCTATCATTTGTCATTAACAACTGCTTTTGTTGGATTTTATCCTTTTCACAGTTCCACAAAGTGAAATTTTTCTATTAGTTTCAAAGTCTGAAATTATAAAATGGGCTGGTCTGGAAGTGAGAGGCAATACTAACAAATCCAGAAGTTGAAGCAGAGGAAAGAAATACAAGCTTAGGTTGAAAGAATGGGAGAGGACTGAAATCAGATAGGAATTTCAAAAGCACATTTTGAGATATTGTGGCATGTTTGAGGGACAGCAAAGCAGCATGAAAAAAAAACAAGTTAAAATTCAATTTAGTTGGATTTGAATCTAATCCTAATGCTTCTAAAGCTACATGTCAATGCAAGATTGTTATTACTGAGTATACAGCACACATGAAGATCAAAGTTTCCATTAACATTACCTAAAATATTCAAGTAAATATAGCTAATTGCAGTATTCTAGCTGCAAAAAAAACCAAACAAACAAAAAAACAAAACACTTTATTGTGACACGCATGTAAGTTTGCTGTTTGTACTACAGCACCACACAGAGTAGATTAAAGATCGTGTTAAAAATGTACTGAAGCAAGAAAGGTGAAAAATGAAATCACCACCTCTGTTCAACGAGAACAGAACTATCCCACTGAGTTCTGCCAGGACACAAGAAAAACTGGATCTGAGATAAACATCTCCAGCCCCAGTAAGACTCTTCAAGCTTACAGCCATCTCTTCTGTAGCTGAAGAGTGCTACACAACAAACACATGGTTTGAAACCCCACACACAGCATCTGTTTTAGTATTATTACCTAATACCACAAGACATGCTTACACAGAAGGCCCAACAGAGCAGATTAAACAAAAAAGAACCATCACAAAGGGCACTCTGAGATATGTTTTGGAATACTATATGATATAGCATATATAGATACATGAGCATATATGGATATTCTAAAGTTTTGGAAAGCACAGGTAGGCTTACAGGTAAAACTGTCAGTAACAATTCTGATCACACAGCACGATCCATTAAATCATCTTTCCCTTTGAAGCCAACACAAATTTGCTTCCTGATGCTTAACATCATCCAAAGAAATTGAAAAAAACTATTTCACACCACTTCCAGTTCGCACAGAACACCTATTTCACAGCATTCAATGTATGAAGTGCATAAAAGTAAGAAAATAAAGATGACAGAATCTAAGGTAAGTGTATTTGAGTCTTCAACGTTTTATTTTTATCAGTAAATTGATTCTAACAAAAACAGAAGAAAAAAATAGATCAACTTTTCCTTTAAAACACCATATACTTTGAATGAATGTTTAAACAGTTCATAAACTGTTTTTTAATCATACTGAAATTGGAAAATGTTAAGACTTACAATAAGGAGTTGGGAGATCATGAAAGCTGAATTTTTCAAAAACTAATATTAAAATGTATTGTTGCCTTCATGGAATTAAAATCTACTACATTATTTAAAAATACCTTGAAGCTTTGAATAGAAAACGACTTTAATCTGAAACAAATTTTAATAGCCTTACCTTCTAAGTCTTCCTCAGCTGCAAAACTCAAACTGAACACTGATTTAAAAACTATTATATCTTAGGAATAAATTCAAAAAAAATAAAGATTTCACACAGCTCTCCAATGAAAGCCAATCAGCTTATTACATATCACCATGCTACATAAGAACAAAACCATTCCAATTCCAATACTAACTGCATTATTCAAAAACATGCTGCTTCACACTACCAAAAGGATGTCCACCAACACACAGACTCCCTCATACTTGTGAGGAGACAGAATACCTCATCCCGTTATCTGAATGAAAGCAATGGAAAGCACAGATCAGAGATCAACTCCTTCCCCATTTCTGATCTGTACTTCATATTAGGATCATTTTTAATGACATTAAAACAAAAAATCCAGCTTCCCAAGGCTGGCCCTGTTACTGCTCACATTCACATCACTTCTGATGACAACTGGAGAACTTCCAGTTTCATACAAGAAATAAGTGAGTTCTTTGTGCACTAGCTGCAATACAGCCACTCGTTTCTAAAGAAAATCAGTCTTCCCAGAACTTGATTTTTGTGCTCTTTCTATTCATAACAAGCATATCTACAGACTTGCTACAGGTACTGTTTTAATGCCATGTGCGTTTCCTTCCCAATCCTAAATGCTTCATCAGCAAGTCCACTGAGGGCATTTGTGATGCAGGAAAATATGTTTAGTCATAGACTGTTGTACTGCCTGTACATTTCAGCTGTGCTACGTACGGACATGCATGGTGTCAGGAACCAGTCACCATTTGCCAGCACTTACTAGATGATGGATGAGATCAGTCTGACTGCATAGCTCTTCCTCAGCCTTGTGAAGTGCATAGAGAATAAAATGGCTACAAGACAGGAACATGCAACCAACATAACACCACCAAGTTTCATGCAACCAACAACACCAAGTTTCTGTGTCCAATTGTTTTACACTACACTTGTTCACTGAACAAGATTTCTGTGCTTTTCTGAGCTCTACTCAATATAAATACAAGGAGGAAAAGAGAAAAAGGGAGCACAGTCAGAGGATCAATAAGAATCATTAGCTAGAAGCATTTACAATGAACTTAAAAGTTAGGAAAGAGGCTCAAACAAACAAACAAAGGTACAAAACAATGTTTCCTACCTAATAGATCATGGTCCTGATTATTTGTTTTCTAGCCTGTAAAATCAACACAGAATGATCTGCACTCTGAGGTCATTCAATTCAGCTTGTGAACATACTCAAGTATGTTTGTCAAGTACACCATGCCAAGAAAACAATATAGTTTATGAACTAAGATTTTTATGAAGGTAGAAATGTATTTAATTGCTTACCTCTAAAGTATTATTACTTTTAGGTGTTTTTCCACCTAAATCACAGGTGATTGTTTATAAACAATCTTATGGACTAATACTGTCCCCAAGGAGGTTAGTCCGTACTAACAACCACTGTCAACAAGAAATAAAACAAAAGAAAGTCTCAAATGCATAACTGTTCAGGTAAGCTTTGCCTACACTAACATTACGGACAATTAAACTATCTAACCTAAGAACCGAGACCCACGTATTGTAGACCAATGCCCAGATTTTATAGTTTCACATGTAAAAGGCTTAAATAAAGCGAAGGATAAAAAGATTACACTCCTGTATGTCTCTATCAATCTTCTGGTGTGCACACAAAAAAAGAAAAAAGGTATTTGAAAGGCTTACATATGTAGGCTGCAGGTGTCACTGGTTGTTGTGAAACATCATTTTCTAGGTTAATTTCATGATCTAAAAAAGTGATTGAGATGAATGCTTTTAAACTACCTCTGAGGCCATGTTTTCAGTGGTTTAGAAAGCTGAAAACGAAAGCCAAAGCGCACGAGCTTCATACAGGCACGACAAGCATTTTGGGTGTTATCCTTAAGGGCTATGTAAGTGTTTTCTCAGACTTCTGGATCAGAACCTTTGATTTTTACAAAGATGTTTTATGTTCATCTGAATGCATGGGTTGGTTGGTTTTTTTTGAGAATAACCTATCTGAATATTGTAACTGTTACTTTCTTTCTCCTTTTTTTTTTTTTTTTTTCTAATAAACACCAATTGATTCAAACTGCGTAAAAAAGAATGTTTACTCAGAATAAAATCTGAACACTTACCATGAAAGGGACAGAATGTTAAAACCTGTTTTGAAAAAGCTGTATTGCCTCTAGTATCCCAAACTCATGCCTTTTTCACAGGGAAAAAGTGAAGTTATTGGTATGAAATATATCTAGTACTTGAACAGAAACCCACCTTGAGTTCTGAAACAGAAATCCAACATTTATAAACCTAGAGAGCATCACTGCAACATACATGCTTGACAATCCAAACAGGCAAGCTTCTTGTCACTTTTCAGTAAAGAAAACAGACAGATTGTATAATAGTCACATCAGTGGGAGAAGAGTTCCAACTGAACTAAGATATTCTTACCAAACTGATTCCCTCTTTACAGTCCTGTTTTTTCTTGATCTAGGGAATTATCATTTGATGTATTTATTATCTGTGCAATGAAAAGCAAAGGCAAAAAAAATCACATCTTTAATTGTTGAAAGTGATTACTGTATAATCACAAGAGCTAAGACTATTAATATGCAATTAAACTGATAGGAAGTAGGTTAAGTGATTACTTGGGAAATGGACAAACAGCAAAAGGGATTAAGTATGTGATAACTGAAGTGCCATTAACAAACATCCACCATACTCTGACAGCAAACATATTAGAACTGCCACATTTGCTCTCATTTTATATGAAACAAACTTTAAAAAATATGCCAAATCTTCCTATTGACATCATCTCAATACCAAAACCTTTCCAAATTAAGGATGACAATTTCATATTGCATTATGCAATTTTTATTCACAAAAAAAGGAATTATTGTTAAATGGGCTCTTTCCATTTAGCACTTACTCCCTGAATAAGGAATGAAAAGAAAGGTAAGTAAAAATCACTCAGTAATTATCTGCCTGCAGGTGAACATTTTAGAGCTGTCTATATATATATATTACACTGAACAGGAATATTTCAAAACACTAACAAATGTTTTTTAATTCAGTAACAGACCAAATTAGATAACCATTCTTTTTTGCTTCTCTTCTTGTCTGCAAGTATTCTTCTTAACACAACAGATCTTTTAAAAAGCATTCTAATACAACTAGTCACCTCCTGTTGCCTACCTGAGAGCCCAAATTACTGCCTTTATCCCCATATCTAGCAGAGAATTGCACTGTACAGACTGAAAAGCAGAGCATTAATGAGCTTTTGCCTACAGTACGTAACAGCACTGACACTACACCCATCTACACCAGGCATTCAGAATCATTCCGAATGTTGCTTTATGTTAGTAACAGCAACTTTATTTCTGATGTTGCAAGAAGTACTTCACAGTAATAAGAAAAAAAAACAGATTTGGAACCCATGCTGCTACTGTTAGCTTAGTAGCTGGAAAAAAATAAAATAAAATAAAAAAATTAAAAGGAAAGCCAGGCAGCAAGGAGTCACTCCCTTCCCCTTCCTTACATGCAATGAATTCCTTCACTACACATGCAAAAATTTTGCTGCTGATAGGAACACTGGATGAAAAATAAGGAGATTATAAAATAATGTGTATTAGCTGGCCTAACAACCATACTAGTTGGGCACTATATGTCCAGTAGCTCCAAGGAGTTCTTGCCAATATCCAGTATCTTGTAACATAAAATATATATAATAATAATAGTAATAATAAAGGCAGGAATTGAGAGCACTGGGATGTTTCTTCATATTTCCCTAAGTCATTTCAGTAACACAGCTCTCCAAAATAAGTAATCCAAGAATAAGATGAAGATCTTTGATCTGACACTGCAATGCCACTCTAAACTCAGAATTACTGGGTAAAGTATTGCCAGCATTAGTAAATCTGTTCTTAAATTGACAACGCATCACAGAACAATAAATGCCATAAACTCTTTGTACTGAACATAGATGTTCAGATTATACAAGCTAGGGATGTCAGCAGTTTCCAACTCTCCCATTTCTGCATTAAAACATGCACAAAATAATTCCTTATTAGGGAATTACCTTACAATATGCACTTAGTGATAATAAATGTAAGACAGAAAACATCAATTACCTCTAAAGCAAGCTCACTAGATCAGATGTGGAGAACACTAATGCAACTGAAAAAAAATGCACTGAACGCAGCCCCAGATAGAATACAAATTTCTCAATCGCTGTCATTATCATCTATGTGATAACAACACAGACCAGAATTAAACTGATTTGCTCTCAGAAGTTTTACTCCTTTGTCTTTTCTGGCATATGTTGCATTTTCTCTTTTCCTGATTAATGGACTTATCACCTTTACCCAGCTACTGCTGAAAACGCCAGAAACTGAAACAAAAGAAACCCCATTAAAACTTGCAGAGCTATCAATCTACTAAAAGCAAAGTGTAAAGAAACTGATAAATCTCAGCCCAGAGAACACTGCACCTAGCACTCATGAGCATCCTATGATCCAAAGTCTTCAGATAGCTAATCTTGGCTAAAAGCCCAAGTCTGTTTCTGACTTCCTAGTTAATCAAGAACACATACTCAATATAGCTACTGCAAATAACTACAAAACAAAGGAAAGGATACTGCTAACTTTTAAAAAATAGATTAATGAAGAACTCGTCTTTCTTAATAGCTTCCTGATATCTGATATGCAGTAACACACAGTGCAACAGATACAGAAGGAAAATTGAACACTGACTGCAAGTGAGGTCATAATAACGATTATAAAACACTTCTGACCCATATTACAAAATTTCTAATTTCAGAGGCCTAAAATTTCTCAGAAAGGACAAGACAAAACCAATGACTTTACTGCTTTTAAGATGCTAAATTGTAGAACTAAAAAATAACACTCATCTTCAAACAACTGTACTTTGTAGGACCTGGGTTTAGTTTTCACAGTTAAAGTTCAGACAAACTTCTACTCGTTGTCTTAAGCTGTTCTGTATTAACAATATTACTTAAGAACAGAGCGCATGAACTGTCATATTTTACTTCTTTAAGTAAAAATATCTCAACAGAAGTAAGCAGTTACAAGTATGAAGGTGATGAAGTACTAACTACACCCAAATTTTGACCTTTGTCTACATACCGGGTGCAGCAGAAGACAAGCAGTCCATCCTCTACAGAAAACTCTGTACTCACAATTCACAAGATTGAAGTGATCCACTGACCTTACTTAATATAAACAATACTTCAGTATTTTAAGTTTGCAATTACAGCACAGCAGTGAAGTGTTACAATTTCCAAGATTAAAATAATTTATCCGGAATATTCTCCAAATTAGAAAAAAGTTTCCTGCACTTCTACGTCTATCTAGAGCCATAAAGCACACCTGTACTTCTATTTACATTTCTACTTCTATTTAGTCTTTTCCTCTTATGAAAAAAAAAAAAAAACACAAAACCTGTCATTTTTTCCATCAAGAAAGCAAATATAGAAATGACATATGGCCTGTAATAAAACTACTAGCAACTATTCCAAAAAGTAGATTTAGAAAATAAAGAGAAGCAATACAACAATGCCTCAAGCATTCTTCAAATGGGGTGGGGGGGAAGGAAGAGAAGAAAGATAATTTTCCCAGTCTTATTACTTTAAAAATATAACTGCCTCAAACCACAGACACACTCTAAGCAGTTATTAGCAAACCAACTGTGTTACCTCCTTGTGGAGTTAATCCATTCTTCATCAGACATAAACCGAGCTAAAGCTCTGAATAAAATAATTATTCAAAATGCTAAGGATAAGAATATGACAGTCAAGGTTAACAGATGGGGGAGAAAAAAAGGGCCGGTACTGACAAATGGAAAAGTACACTTCACATATGAGATATGTGATGTTACAAAATAATAGGTAGTTTAAAAAAGTGGTCTCTAAAACATTTTTTCCCTCCAGTTATTAGCATTACATACAAGTGCAAACATCATGGAATTAATTTTATATTTCAATTAACTGTTACTAAGTAATTTCAACAGTTCTATAAAAAAGGTAAGAACTAATTATATTTATGTTCGAGAGGAATGTCCAACCTACACGTTATTTGGTACTGTAAACCTAACAAATTCTACCTCAGAATATTTGAGTTTTTCAGTGAGAAGAGATTGATTAAACCTTAGGATGCAATTTGACTGAGGCCTTTTCTGCCTAACACTCATACAGAGATACAGAGAAATAAACTACCACTTTACAACAAAGTTCTGTCAGAACAAAGCTATTAAGAATTTGCCCATGGTAATTTGCCCAGGTAGATTTTCTGGCCCATGGAAGGAGTGTGAGAAACATGCACCATGCAGCCACCTGCTTTCAGCACTCTGCAATACTCCTTTCACAATTCACACCATTTTGCGTTGGTCCAGTTTCAGATTTAATTGCATTCCTAACTAAGGGAACCAATACTACAGTTATCTGAACTTCTCCAGATATTGGGTATTTTGAACACTAGGATACCTATAGAGCTATCCACCTTCCAGTCCAAACAGGAAACAAAATTTTTTGTCTTCAGAAACAAGAAATTAAACAAATCCATTAACTTTATCCTTGCCAATTACATAATGCAAATAAATTTAAACCACATAAGAAATTTACATCATTCCACACAATTACAAAGGGAATTAAAACAGGGAAGAAGCTGAACATTAAGGGAGACCTACAATAAGGTTTAAAATGGTTGTAGACTCTGACACGCTAATCAATAAAACATAAGTGGTATTTGCTACAGATCTTATGTTCACCACAACCCATACTTACAATAATAACAAATTGGAATTTACTTGTATTTCACGACAAGGAAAAAAAAGCTTCGCTTTAAAATGTGAACATAAACCATAAAATACAAAAACCAATAAGAATGTGGAATATACCTTATATTTGGTCATGGTGCTAAAATGGTTGTTCCTGAAGAACACGCAGAGCTCTCCTTCCTGGACAGCTGAAGTCAACTCGCACAGCCCATGGTACGTCAACTGCGTAGCCGTATTATTTAGGAATTGCTCAGCTACAAATCCTACAAAAGCAATACATACTTTTGTGTGCCTATTACATATTCCTAAAAATACAGAAACCTGACAGTCCTCTTACTCCAGTTTATGCCAAGCAAGAAAAATATTTTTAATGAGTCATTACAGCAAAGAAAGAAAAAGCCTTACAAATTTGTTTCTCATTGTATTGTCTAACTAAAACTGAGTTAAAAACAAACTCCACTTTTAAAGCTCACTTGCTAAAGTATTTTACTTACTCTTCATTAAAACAGGATTTAGTGAGATATTCATCACAACACCATGCTGTTAACATGCAAAACATCATCTAATTTACTCCTCACAAGTGATCGTTAAATGTGATTACAAAATAAGGATGGGAGGTTGATGTAACAGGTTGACTGAAAACAATGGCTTAAAAAGTAAAACAAAATACCACATTTACCCTAGCAAGTTTCAGTAATCCACATCTCCTTTCTTCTCAAGTACAGGCAGAAATTACATAGCAACAGAGAAAGAACCAAACATGAGAAATCAGAGAAACAGATGTGGAATGGAAGCATGGAAGGAAGCTATTGCCATTTAGTACCAAACTTCTCAAAGATAGGAGAATGCATTCTAGGCTGTATCAAAATTTTTAATGAAAACTGTTATTGAAAGAGACCAGACGTAGAATGTCAAAATATCAAACTCTTTTTATGCTCACCTATACATACTCAACTACCAAGCCCTCGTGTCCTTCTAAGCCATGTAAAGATTTTTAAGAACTTCAGACCAAGGCACCACTTCAGATCTCATTCACCAATATTTACGATTTATCAGTTGTTAACATCTGCCAAAATGCCTCCTTAACTATAAACCAGTCAGACCGGAAGACACTTGTTTGAAATTTATTTTATAAATGAATTAGTTCAGAAAACACCACCACAGTATTTATGTGACATATGACAACGTGCTCAATACACTTCTCAATAAACTACAGTAAACATGGACCTCTGCAAGGTAGAAACTCTCACACCTTGGGTATTTTCTCCACAGAACAGCAGCCAAACACACAACTTTACATTGCTCAACAATACCACATACTAGCCTTTGGCTTCAGCTGTGGCTTAGCCTAGAGACCCAGCATTATAACTGCTGGTAGTGGAACATAGGCACCGTACAATATATAAAAACATGTATATATACATACATATATATTTCTTGACAGCAGACCCATATATATATACATATATATGTATATATAGGTCTGCTGTCAAGAAATATGAAAACAAAACAAAAACAAGACCAAAAGTGAGAGGTTGAAAGGGTTGCTTTTTGTACAGTGCAGTTGTACAGTGCTGTAGGACTGCTAACTCTCTGCACTAGATAAGCAAGCGGGCTCTGAATGTTGAGACTGCATTCACTGCTGTGCAACTAACAGCTGTAAAAGTAGCCAAAAGAAAATACTCCAAGAGCTGTCATTTGGATCACATGCCAAATAAGCAGAGAATTCCTCAAAGAAATCACATCCTGCATCCTTTAACTATAAAGTAACAATACAGAAGGAAACTTCCTCTTTGATTTGTAAATATCTCCAATCACCTTGCTTACACATTAATCTGAACAAAACAATAATACTATCTTCCCCAATCTCCTCCCTGCTTATTAGCACACATTTAACAGAACACATTCAGAAGGAGAAAATGATTTGAAAGTTCCAAAGCCTTATTACTGTAAAGTACCAGTACATGTTTAGAAATGCTATATCCATGTCAAGTATCACTGAGATCTTCTTTATCATGTAGGAGATAATACGTAGCTAAGGTAAAATCTGATGCTATTCATAATACCTTTTCATAAAAGGAAGCTACCTCTATTTTTTAAAGGTATAATTCAGCTCAAGAGAATGAGGTTGACTGTCGTTTCAGAAATTCCATCAGAGACATTGCGACAAGCACTGTGCTGTCTGCTTACCCAGCAGACACCAAGCAGCTCACCACACCTGTATCACAGCATACCAGGAACCACACACGCAATATGAAATGAAGTTTAGATAAAGTGGACAATCAGATGATAGAAAAAAAGTTACCCACCTTCACTAACCAGTTCACTGTTGTCAGACTGCTTACAAGAAATTATCTTCTCCACGAGCTGATTGTAACTGCAGTTACCAACTGCTTTTACTATGTCAGCAACCTGGAACAGGAGGAAACAGCATAAAAAACAAGAGAACTTATTCTTGTAAAGAACAAACTGCAAGCTGAGAGTAATATCTTGTGAGAAACAGTCTCAAACAACGGAGGATGTTAACCCCCTAACAACACTAGACCAAAAAGCTTTAGCCAAGGCTGTTAAATATTTTCCAACCTCAGATACCATTTAGAATCCAGAAAATAAAGCCCAGCATCAAAAGCTGTTGGTAGGCAGGAAAGAGAAGAGTATGGGGTGCAATTTGTAATAGGAACATTCTCTCTCAGTTACTTCTCCTTCCTGATGCTTAGTGCTCAAATTACAGAACCCCTAGAGACTAAGGTAAATATCACCTAATACACTTGATACACATCAGTGTTGTGCTCTTTGCATCATACTTCATTAGAAACAATGCCACACAAGAACAAACTCAATGAATATATAAGATTTTCTTAAAAAGCAGCCATCTTTTAGGCATCCCAATGGATCTTAACATAAAATATCATTAAAGTTCTTAATCCACAATTTAAAGAAATTCCAAAACTACTCTGTGTTTTTGGACTACAGCTATGATATATGATCCACTAAGGTATAAGTCATGCAGAATATATCAATATCAGGCAGCCCTGGACACAGCCCATTTGCCTACACTCATCTCTTCTTTATTTGCACTTCTACTCTAAATTAAGAGAAAGTTACTTTCCAGCAAAGAAGGATCAGGACAGATCAGAGAACAGCAGCTTTCAAGAACAAGGCACGAAGGGGGAAAAAACCCAAACAAACAGGAAAAGAAAACTGAGGCACCTTATTCCAGGCAAACACCTCAGTTTTATCTTTCACCTCATGCAAATAGTATTATTTCACTGCTTAGTTAAACAACACCTCAATATCATGAAAAATAAGTCTTTAAGATGTAGCTGCCCCTAACTGGTTTTAATGACCTCAGTTCTCAAAAACTGCATTACCAGTAGATGTAAATCAAGAAAAGAAAACAGGGAAGAAATCCTGCTTTCCTTTCTGGTGTTCTTTCATGAGCTTCCAAAAGCATTTGAGTGGCACACCCGAGGGCAACTCCCTTCATCCTTCAGAAGGATGCAATGAGTACAATGTATTTCAGTGTAGCACATTTTGAACTTATACAAAGGTGCTGAACTAAAAAACAAAACAAAACAAAACACCCACCATCTACATTCACTCCTCTGAGAAGTCATTTTTTTTCTGAACAGATTTTAAAACATCAATTACCATATTCATTATTATTGCCTTCAGTGAAAATGCTGCAACATCTTCCCTCCCCCAAATAAAACGCAAATAACTTCTGTTTGATTACGTGAGGAAAAAACAAGAAGTTACCTGGGGATCCACTAACCATCCGTGGTACAAAGGGATGTCAAGAAGGTCAAACACTATGCATTCCGGTGTGTATTCAAACACTCGAACACCTGTAAACTTCACATTGACATCCAGACCTGTCTGTAACTTATGCAGAATTGCCATTGCATCGCTCATATTCTGACAGCAGAAAGAAAAGAAACACCAAATAGAGCTTTGTACACTTGGTGATTATGCATTAAGTCAATATTGCTAAAAAAAAAAAATTAGAAAAGGGGAAATTTGATAGAGAACCACTTCAATGCATATTTGTGTTACTTGTGCCACTGAAAGTAATATCAGAATATCAGAAAGTACATGAGGTGCTTGCAGAAGATTCAGAGGAACAGAGCAATTTTTGTTTGCTTGGTTTTGTAACATTTTGTTGCTTAAGAGGAATTCAGAATTGCAACAATGTTTTAAAAAAGAGCACAACAAAATGCAGAAGAAGAGACTGAAAAGAAAATGAAGACTAAAGTTTCACAGAATGAACTCAATGATTATTATGGAGTTTCCTTTGTGTTATATTCCTTTATAAGACAGTTAACAAAAAGAAGCACAGTTAATGTAGTCATGAAGGGAAGAAAAATGTATGTGTATAACTGAGTACATAGGACAGATTATGAAAGAAGTATTAAAGAGCTTGGTAGGCTAACACTGTAATCAGGGTATGGAGAGATGACATTTTATCACTTGGAAAGTACTTGCTGACTACAAAAAAAAAGGAGTCTATTACACAATAACATAACCAATATGTTAATCTGAACACTCCTTTCTGCAGCACGTTAATGGACAAATTAATTGAGGAGAACGTAATTGGCAGTGTATGGCAGACCTCACTATTTGTCCAAAATGTAAGAAGACTGCCTGTGTATCTTGTGACTTGGTATTCTAAAGAACATACCAGCATACAACACTAATAGATTAACTGCCATCAGCAGCTCTAAATAATCCAATTTTAACAGATCTGCATTTATCAGAAAGATGAAAGTTGGTTGTTCTTGAAAAAGTTTCAGTCGTTCCTCCTTAGATGATGGAATCTTAAAACAAAAGGCATACATGAAAGCTGTAAGCAGACACACATCAAACACCTCTGCCTACAGATCTCTGCACATTACTTTGCGCACACAGCAGCATGGTTTCATTAGAGCACAAAGCAGAAATCCCACACTTGCCAACCTCAGCACTCACCAATTCCTCAGCTGGAGGAATTAAGCTATTCTTGCTGGTATGCAAGTTTTAATGTTTGGTTGGTTTTTGTTTTTTGTGTTTTTTGTTTTTCTTTTTTTCTTTTTTTTTTTTTTTAACCAAAAATACAGTAGAACAAATTGGTTCTCAAGTAATATTTTAGATGAAACTCCTGAAAATTCCTCAAGTTTTTTAAAAAACAACAAGCATACAGTATCCACATTTGGAGAGTTTTCTATGAATCAGACAGACCTACTGCCTGAAGCACTGTTGTGTGAACTTTCTATTACCAGGAAGGCAGCAGCTCAGACTAGTTGAGTACATCCTGTTGCATCCTTTTGTCAACTTTGCAATGTCACAAAATTTAGAACACAGCAAGTTTCTTAAGAAATTCTCAGGATCAGGCTCAGACTTATACTGTTGCTTGTATTATTATAACTTCAGACAAAAACATCTTACTTTAGAAGCATGATTACTGAGTAGAGACCAGGTATCAAGTGCTAATTCCCATCAGAGGCGTTTTGTAACAATATTATTCTGATAGTTGTAGAACAGCAAGAGCCTATGGCAAACCAGCACCAGTCATTCACACACATCAGATCATACGTCCACAGCAATTAGTTGCACTTATTTTGTAATGTTTACTTTATAAATAAAGCAAAAATACATCAAGCTGTCTGAAGAACTACACATTTCTCACTATAATCTGAACTGTACCATTTCAAAGTAACAGATTTCTAATAAATAAATGCAAATAAATAAGGATAGAACTACACAACACCAGTGCATTGAGCAGCATTAAAACTTGATGCTTTACTGTTTTTAAGATCCATCTTTCATTTAAATACTTAGCTAATACTCTCAGGTATGCTGTTACTGGCAAGACAAATCACAGCTGCAACACAAAAAAAAGCATCACAACATTATGCTAAAATTACCCTAAAATGTAGCCTTACAAATCCAGGCATCCCAAAAAATTTCTTGTATTTCTTTTAACTTGTAAGAAAAAAACACAACATTTGGGTAAAGAATATTTCCTGTTACGACGTGATAAACACAGAACTATGATTAATGCCAAGACATAGTTCCAATGCTTGTAAAATGTAATAATTTTATAAGACTTGAGGCCTAATTGGTTTCTTTTTCTCCTCTTATGCAGCATGACTTGTGCAACTAGGAAATACATATGAATGGGAACGCTCCTAGAACAGTGGTTGTTTTTTAAAATTGCACAGTTGCACATTTACTGAACGTATTTGTGACGTTTACTTAGTAAACTCATTTATTTGAGCAACTGAAAGCCATAGAGGTTGTACTTCCACATATATTTTTCTTTAATATATAATTTTCTTCAGCTCCTGGAAGTTGATTACTGCTATAATCTTTATCAAGAATACATGTAATCTTTTGTGGAGAGAAAAATAGCTAATTCAGTTATCTCAAGCAGAATTCATGCCACTTGATACAAAGCATATATTGTATGATTCCAAAAACAATACATTCAATCTTCATTTTAATTTTAACTACTCCAAGATACTTAGCTTGCTCCGAAAGTAATGCCTCCAATTTACTTCCACGGAAACCATAACCAATACATAGAGCACAGTGACACTGCTTGACAAAGCAGACTCTCAGCTACAAAACACTTTTTCCAACAGTCAGCACCATTAGCTATGCATTTTCCCGCAGTGAACAAGAGCCTGCGTACTGTGCTCCCAGAAATCGGCAGCAGTGAGAAGAATATCGCTGTTTATTAATTGAATCAACCTCATGTTTCTCCATCACTGCTTAAAAGCAGGTCTCTTGTTTTGTCCATATCCTCAGTTACAGCCTAGCAGAGATCACAGAATGCAGCATACTGAAGAATGCAAAACAGAAAATTCCAAAGTTACACACAAGTGTTACACACTTTCATGTGTTTTTCTATATTGTTCTTCATCAAAGGAACAAGATTCTTATATTACACACACTGCAAGAAAAAAAAAAAAACAATTTGTGTGTTGAGATTGCAAATTTTTCTTCACTAATAGGAAATACTTATAACTAATACTCCACACCAAGCCTATTGAATAGGAAAAGTACTAACAATGGTTTGCAACAAATTGATAAACTTCAGGTGAGAAAAAAAGAAGCAGACACAAGCAGTTGTATTTTAGGAGTAGCTTCTTACCTGCTCATAATTTAGACGCTGAATTTCAGATATCTCTTTGGGTTTTGCATCAAGAATATAATCTCCTAAAAAAGGAAAAATAAAATCAAGCTTATTCAAGATTTCTGTGAATACTTATGACTGAAGCTAACTGATCATAGGTATTTTTTTCATTGAGTGAGATGCCACTGTTTTATGGCCTGGATTATAAGTATAGAGTAAAATACAAAAACATAAAATAATAGTAAGGTTATATATTGACAATTCCAATTCCAATGACAAGTGCAATTACTAAAACAGCATTCTATAATGACTTGACTAGCATCCCAGTCGCCTGATTATTCAGAAATTTACGTTCCCTCTGCGCCTTAAGTTAAAAATATAAATTCAAACCATTCACAAAAAGATATGGGATTGCATAATAAAATTTAACGAACACAAGCACTCATCCTGACCGACACTACAAAAATTTTGGCATGTTTCCATACACTAGTAACTCTGAAAGGCTTGTATTCCACCTGTGCCTACAACATGAAGGTTATTAATCAGCTATGGAAGAATTATCAAACATGTTGACTCAACAGGAACCTCAAGAATCTGAGACAGTGATTTTGAAATTCGACTAAGATAATTCCAGAAAGTAATATATGACTTCAAAACAAGACACTCAGAGATACATGTTTAGCCAACTATGATTATGCACTAAGATCAGACAGCATTATTCTATCAATATAACTAGAGTGTTTAGACATGGGCAATGACAGTTCTTATTTAAAAAAAACAAAAACAACAAAAAAAAAAAAAAATTTTTTTTTGCCATTAAAAATTTAATTGATAAATTTTTTAAAAAAAAACCTATTTTTTTAAAAAAAAAAATTTAAATTTTTTTATTTTCTTTTTCTCAAAATAAAAAAAAAAAAAAAAAAAAAAATCAAACCCAGTTAGTATGTTAAGCTCAAACATTTTACATTTGTTAGGCTACAAAGAGCTGCGGTGCATATAGCTTAAGGACTAAGGCAAATGCACTTTTAACACCTGGATCACTGTGGACTGCTGAAGTTACAGACTTGTCAGATGGAAACAGTTGCAGCTTTGCTTGCAGACTGAATCTGGTAATGGAATGATGCCCACAAAGGAGAGACCCAGTCACCATGACAACTAAATTCATTTTTCATGTTATTTTAATTGGGTCATACTACCAAGGATTAACGTTACTGCTGACAGTTAAAGGCACAACTCCCTCACTCACTCCACTCTACGGTTAAGTTTAGATTTACCAGCATGTTGGCATACTAAGCTAAGTAGTTTTCTTGAAATATACATTCAAATAAAGCTGAGTAAAAATAGTCAGTAAAAAAAGTAAGAGTCCTAATACTCACTAATAAGCATAATATGCAACAGAAAGCGATTGTGAACACTGGTCACTAACCTAAATACTCCATCAGCTGTTCAGCCGTTATGATTTCCATCATTGGTGGCAATTTAACCTGTGAAAGTAAAAGTACATTGCCTGTAAGATTTCAAAACAACACAGTGTAGAACTTAAGAATGACTTTTTAGCCTGAAGCTTTCTGATCACATTTGGCTCACTGATTTTTAAAAGCATTAGCCTACTTGGACTTCATTAAATAACAGCTGTGAAAAGAGAAGTAGAAGGAGGAACCATATACACACAACCCTTTCTTTCACTTGCAGGTCTGCACACGGTGTTCCCTTCTCTCACCAAAGCCTCCCACCAGCAACCCCCTGACCTCATGGGAGTCTGCACTACTCGTTGTGCTAGCTCAGCTAAAGCACCCAGGATGAACAGACAGAGAACTGTGATCACAATTTGTTAAGAAAGTCACTTCTTTATATCTCCTAAGTGGTCTTAACTTGAAAGTTTCCTATGAACAGACAAGAGGCTGCAGAGAACCTAGCAGCAGCAGTTGCTGGAACAGGAAAGACAACGCTCATGCAGATTTGAGAAAATGACCTCCCAGCCTTTCATCCCATGCTCACACATCAAGGGTTTGATTTCACTCCAATACGGAGGAGATCAAGACCACACAACTCGGTAGCTGAACCTTCCATTCTCCCCGATCCATTCCTGTCACCACCACTTGCTGGAACTAACCACTGTGGCAGCAGCTCAGACCCTCTTCGATACTCATCTCATCCATCCAGCATCCTGGTTAAATGCTTTGGTTGCTCACCCCCATTTAGATATCTCCCTGCAATAGGAGCCCAAAAACACACAAAGCTATGTATATCAATATCTGCAGGAGTAACATTAGAGTCTTCAGTCCTGATGTTTTGGGCTGTTTTGTTGTTTTTTATTTATTTCCATTTAATTCCTCAGTGTTTCATCTTCTCATCTTCTCCTCTACATCATACTACAGAAAGTCAAGCAAATCTGGAATTTCAAGTACTAGGAGCTCTTTCAAAAAGAAATTCCTCAACTCCAAGCACAGAACTTGCAAGCATCTGGGGAAGAAAGGAAATGAAAGGACAAACAGAGAAGGCAAGGGAATTAAAGATTAGGGGGTTATAAATTGTTAGTAAAGCAGGAAATTAGTGAACCATAACTTTGCAAGAAAGAAGGCTTAATTAGTTCTGCTATTTGAAAAAAACTCAAGATGATATGAATTAAACAAGAAGAAAAATCAGTCATGCATTCATAGGCATACGAACTTTTGAAAACATCTTTTAAATGAGAAACAACTGACTGTAACTTACAAAATGCCTTAACCTCTTCCCCAAATATAGGAAAGTTTATCCAATCTTTGAACCTGCTCATAACATTCATTTTGAGTGTTCACATAAACAGAAAACATTGTGCCATGTTGATAAGAGGATTAAAGATTTAAAAAGCTGATTCTTACACACCCAGTTCTGAAGTGCAGCATTTAAGCCTGAGCAACCATCAGCTCTGCATGCTCTGGAGCCAGATAGAGCTGGGCTGGTTCACTGCTGCATGTCTAACAGCCCAGAACAGAAACACTTGAACCACCTACACCCAAAATGGTTCCAGGACTGTGAAAATTACAGCTACAATTAACTACAGTTGTATCTGCACCACATGAAGAAAAACTAGCACACTACCTCAGCTATTAGTAGGATTAGTGTGATGATTTTTTCAGGACTGAGGTTAGCATTTTGTTTGACTGTTTTTTTTAAAACATAGATATCAACTTGGGGATTTCTGCTCCACATTGCTCTGAGGGACCTAGAAGCACACCTCCATTACCCACAGCAACTATAAAACATCATTACACAGTTTGCTGTTAAGTTCCACATATCTGTGGCGTAAATATATTCATGTTTCATACTTCATTCATTAAATGAGGTATTTGTATTATAAGTTTATAAATCTTGATTTTCTCTCAAACAGCAGTGGTCAGCAATTTCTTTTTTACTGAAGAACCAAATTAATTTTACTCATGTCTGTACAATTTCCCATGGTCAGATGATTCAACAAGCTAAATCCCAACATTAACTGCTTAATTAAATGCTAAGCAAATCTTTCACAGCATAGTTTTAGACCTGCCATATTTCATGGGACCTCAATCAAACCTCTACAGTGGTCTAAGAGGTTCCAACATGGTCAGAAGTACTTTGGAACAGAACTGATCTGATATACAGAAAACATGACAACGCCAGCTGCTCAGTGCCTCACTGAACATTCTTAAGCTATAGGAAACATATCAAAGAGAAGAAAAAGGAAAAGATACCTCCAAACTGCAATGGAAATAGAAAAACCACATAGAGCCAGTCACTCTACGCATTTATTAGTAGAAGAAAGCAACAATAGATAAATGTGTTGTACAAAATAATCTGAAGGACAGAAAATTTACCAATAGGCCCCAAGGCGTCATATGTATAGAAAAAGGGACCATAAAAATTTCTACTTACAGTTCCTAGTTATAGTTACACAGAATCACAGGAGTTGGAAGGGACCTTTGGAAATCACCTGGTCCATCCTGCTCACTAAACCACATTCCCCACAGTAGGTTAATGGGAAAGCAGCCAGGCACTTATTTGCTACTCCTGCAAATTCAGTGTTTGGGAAGAGGTAAGCAAAGCTTCAACCCACCCCAGCAAAAGACGATTCATATTTCTTGCAAACACTCAGACTCATAGAATATCCTGGGTTGGAAGAGGCCCAAAAGGATTGAGTCCAGCTCCTGGCTCCACACAGGACCACTCACCTTTTGCCTTGCAGAGAAAGCTTCATAAACTTATCACGATTGCCTGATAGCTTTTGCTATCACCTGACAATTTTAGTATCTTCCTCCCCAGTCAGGTTTTCTTCAGTCCCCCAGAACAGTCTTCCTACTCTAGAAAACACAATTATAGGGCCACTGATTTGTAAGCTCAGCTCATCTCACAGATGCAGAGAGGAAAGCTGCCAAGGCCTCTGCTGAGTATTCATCAGAAGCTCACTGGCATCTTGTCCTTGGAAGCTGAGTTCATACAAGCAATCTGTGCAAATTCTGGCCATCGGGAAGTTCAGCTCAATAAAAAGCAGATCACACATATAGGGCCAATGCCAGGCGTCAAACTAAGCACTACCACTGCAGACTCCAATAAACCAAATGGGTATCAGCAGGAGCATACTGCACTGAGCTACCCTGAAAAGCAGACCATTTTAGGAGAACCTCAAACAGAACATTTCCAGCAAGAAATTTTTTTACTCTACCTGTTCCTGCACCTCAGATTGGATACATCTAAGCATAAGTGGTTATATAACGTTTACTTACGTAACTGTTAGTCATCTAAAGAGGCAGTTCATAGAGTTCTGAGTTACCAAATTTTAGAACTATGTTCATGTAGGGAACATCATTCCCAAAACCTTCCTTTTGTTGGTAAGACTGTGATCTGCATAACTTTGAGAGATACTTTAATGATGTATACTACTGGAACTATTTTCCTACACAAAAACCTGTAACAAGAAGATATTCCACATGTACTTGCTTTCCAAGGCTTCAGTAATAATACTATTAATTCTATTTGTATTAAAATGTTTTCCCTTAGGCTTACTTATATTCCAAAATGATGTGTCCTCTTTTCTCTGAATGTTTCAGGCAAGTATTTTCTGTGCACATCCCACTTCAGGAACACAGAGCAGAATTACACTGCACATTCACTAAGCTTTTAGCAACTGAAGATCACCACACAGTAGATCTTAAGACGAACACAGAATCGCAGTTTAATGCAATTTCAGAAGGTACCAGAAAGCAACGAGTGGACTACACCTAACAAATGCCATAAAAGCAAGCTCTGCACTGCAAAGTAGAAGCACATAGTTGGAGCCGTGAAGAAAAACTGCAAGTCTGGAGACTGAAGTGAGCTGAAAGATGGTGCTCAAAGCTGCTCTATACCAGAAAACCCTTTTTATTTCAATATTCTACTCCCATTTTCATTTCTATTGCAGAAGCCTATATTATTACCACACTACTTTGCACAAGAGCTGCTTATCCAACTTTCTATCATATTGCTTTTGGTTACTTTTGATTCAGAGCATTTCTGTAACATTTCATTAATAACCCTTCAGCTCTATCTCCTAAGGGCTCCACAAGCAGTCTGCAGAGAGAAAAAAAAAAGATTCCATAATTTTAACATTTGGAAGTACAGCTTGCACAATCTGACACCATAGAGCTGTATGTCCAGACTCCCTTGGAAGCAATGGATATGACAGGTAGCAATTTTACAGGTTTAGTTTCAAAAATCTGGTTCTACTAAAAGGTTATTGAAGAATCCCAATGTGTGCTACTACTTCGGAATTTCCAAAAACTCGCTGTCAAATCTCACAGGTAAAAATATACAGGTGCTGTACACTCAAAGAAACAATTATTTTGAAGCCGTCTTTAAACTTACATCACGAAATGAGGATGTTAAATCTAATTTCAAAAATACCTCCCAAAGATACTTTACAGTTGAGTAGTTGCTAAGAATTTTGTTCACTTAATGATCAAGATCTTCAAATTCACTAGGAATATTTACTTTGAAGTGCAACACACTTACTTCAAGTAGAAGAGATCTTCCTACATCCAGTTATTGAGATAAGCAAAGTAATAAACTACCTATAGCCCTCAATAAGAGAGACAGACAAAAAAACTCTTCCAGAAGGCAAACGGAACACACAAACAGCAGATCACAAAGCTGTTAGCATGCAGAGGTAAGAACTTGAATTTTGTTGAGCCGAAACATCTGAAAAAGTGAGTTCTCAATATATCCAAGCATTTCACATTTTTAAGGCACAAATGTTTCCATGATGATGTCTAAGACTATTAAGAAACAAATACCAATTTCAGTCCTAAACAAATTGACCACGTGCAGCTCAACACAAGCAATGTGAATTCAAATTTCACTACTGCACAAGCACAACTAGTACACACAGTGATGGATCTCAAAGTTATCGCTCCCATTCTGGGATAAGTAAAGCACGTGATTGGACATTCTATTGGAAGTATTCATAAAAACCAAAGCACTAGTACTGTAATCATAATATTTTTCAGCTCTGAGCACTCGCTCATATCATCTGAAGCCATATGAGACTTTTAGTCATCCTGTAGGAAAATACTAGAACTCCATTCTGATGGAGCTGTTGAATTAGGAAGGCTAGTGGCAAACACAGGGAAGAAGCACCAAGATGAAACTCTCTACCTTGCTATTCTCTATTCTAGCTTGATTTCCCCTCCTCCTTTTCACTACAATCTTTTCCCACAGCCAAGTGGCTCCTCTCACCTGCCACATGCTCTGGTAACCCTACTCTGCCTTTGCCCATTTCTATCTCCTGGTTTGCTCCCTCATTCCCAATTTACGATTACATGACCCCGATCTAGTGTCCATTTTGGTTCAGGAGAAGCGAGAACAATGTGGAAGCCCATTGTCAGCCTTGGTATATAATTGGCAACTGACAGTGATGCACAGGTGAGCTGTCAAAAAGCTTGCCTCCGCAAACCATGTCAGCATGGTTCTTGACTGTAAACTAGGGAAAAGAAAGGACAATTTGGAGAGGCCCTAAATAAGGGAACCAATTATAAGCAGGGGTGATATACAACCAACTAATCAGAAAATCCCAAAGCACATAAATAGTCATATATTGGCAGCTCCACCTACAATGGTGACTTCCTGGCTGTTCAGAAGTCATATAAATTCTGCTGAGGTTTTACATAAACAGAATTATAGAAAACCTCTTCTATAATCCCAGCAACAAGAAATGTAAGAGCACTCCAACGAGGCTTTTTCATTTCGCTTACAAATTTTGATGGCATATTCATTCTTGCTAACATAGCATTTGATCAAAGCAGAACATCAGATAAAGTTCTGGAATGGAAGGCAATAGAAGAAAGTAACTATATATTTATGGAAAGAAAGGAAGAACACTAAGGAACAAAACCTCTTAAAAATTAAGAGCAAACAACAAGGACGGTGATGTCCCATTTATGTCCTTTCATTAAATGAACACTTAAAAAGGTAAATCCTGGGACCAAACACATCTAAAACACCACCACCACAAAGAATGATGCTGAACCAGTTCTTCAAGGCCCTGCACTCACCTTTGTACATTAAAGAGGAAACGTACAAAGAAAATATTAAATACTGAAGTCTACAAAGATCTATCCATCCTCCTGAGGTAGGCAAAACTTGCAAAAGACAACAGTTTTGTGCCATCCACAGCTCCCCTGTACTGCTCTCAGAAAGGTCTTAATAGCTACATCATGTACCCACAGCATTCCTCCTGACCCACAAGCTGTTCTGCTCAGGAAAACTTACAGAGACAAAAAGCCCAAAGTAACATTAACCTTCTGAAAGACTATCTCTGTGAAAAAATACTTTCTTATTGGACAAAGGTCAAAATGAAAATACTATATTACCTGCTATATCTGTGAAAAGCCTCCAACCACTATGACACCTCGTTTCCTTTCTTTTGATTCTACAAGAACAAAACACTCCCACGAAGTTTCCCTATTCTGAGGTCTCATCACCTCACCAATTCTTCAGGGTTGCATTAGCAACAGTTCTTGAGACCCCACTTCCTTGTCTTGTAAGGCACACATCTGATGGTACTTCTTTTACATAAACATCAACAGCTATAATATACCTCATAGTCGAGCTCTCTATTTTAAAGATTTAGAATTTACACAGGATTTACTCTAAGACCCCAGGAAGTCATATGCACAACGACTACCAGACCATAGGAACTCCCAGGCCCCAAAGCACCGCTCGATTCACTCATCACCACCCTGCCACACAACTCCACAGACGGATCCCTCTTACTCAGCAAGTTATTTGTGCAAATCCACGTTTTGCAAAAACCCGCACGTATTTTCCTTTAATATTAACCTAGTTTCCCAAAGCACCACTTCAGTTTCCAGCGCTACCGACGCACAGAGCAGCGGCTCGCCCCGCAGCCAGCCCCCTCCCCGCAGCACACGGCCGCAGGTGCCCCGGCCCTCCGCGATGGCGCCGTACCTTCCAGGCCAGCAGCAGCACGTTCATGATGGCCAGCAAGGGGCAAGGGCCGTTCTCGTTCTGGGTGATGACGGGAGTGTTCTCCTCCTTCCAGCGCACCCACTTGATGTGGTACACCGACTGCCCCGGGAAGCGCTCCTTGGAGGCGGCGAGGAGCTGCGCGCCCGCGGCGGGCCTCTCCGCATCATGCCGCGGGGCCGGGCCCCCCGGGGCGGCCTCCACCGCCTCCTCGGCGTCGCTGTTGAGTTCGGAGCCGCTGGGGCAGCAGGAGTGCAGGTTGGAGAACGACTCCAGCGAGTCCAGGCTGCGGGACTCCTCCCCCGGGGGGCTGGCAGCCCCGCTACTCCCGGAGCCGGCCCCCGCCGCCGCCCCAGGGCTCTCCGGGAGCGTCGGCCCCGCGCTCTCGGCGCCCCGCAGGGGAGACGCGTCCCGAGGGCCCGCGGGGGCCGGCGGAGGGGACGGGCTGCGTCGCCCACCGCCCTCCTCACCGGGCCCGTCCCGGCAGCCGTCGCCGGCCGCCGCCTCTCCCGGGAGGAGCCGCTCGGTGGCGCCCCCGCCGCCGCTCTTTAGCGGGCCCGGAGGCGGCGGGGGCTGCGCCGGGCTCTCCATGCCCGGACCGGCGGCCACCCGGCTGCTCCGCGCTCTATTGGCACAGCGGCGGCCGAATCTCCGCCGACGGATCCCGAGACGCCATGACAGCGGCAGCGGCTCCGCCCCGCCGGGGACGCGTGGGCGGGAGCGGGGAGCGGCCGCGGGTCACGGCGGGGCCCGGGGCGGGGGCGCCCCTAGGGCGGGGCCGCGGCGGCCGTGGGCCGGGCCGGGAGGAGGGCGGCGGAGGGAATCGAGGGGGCTGAGGGAAAGCGGACGGGAAGGGCGCGCCGCCCCAGCACGAGGCCGGAAGGGGCGGCAGGAGGCGGGGCGGCCGAGCCCGCGGCTGTCCCGAAACACTGCGCGGGCCGCGCCGGGTGTCTGAGGCGCAGGAGGCCACCTCGTCTCGTCCCGCCCCGCCCTGCCCCGCCCCGCCCGTGCAGCCACGGCCCCGCGCCTGCGCAGAATTGGCGGCGCGCTGCGCCTTGCCCGGCGGGGCTGAGGTAGAGCAGGGCGCGGCCGGACGCTGTCCCGCACTGCCGGGTTTCGCTTTCTATGGGGGTGTGGGAGCTGTTTTATTGCGGCTGTTAAGCGTCTCTTTCAATGGTGAGGGTGACTGTGGTGAAGATGACGATTTCAGAGCTAACGCAGTCACACAGAATAACGGAGGTATTTTCTCCACCCTGTAGCTGCCCACGCCCTTTGGTCGCTCGCACAGTGTGAGCGCACTTTGGGGAGGGCTCGCCGTGCTCCCGTTCTCGCTGTTCTCACACCTGGCTCCGCCCGCGCTCCGAGGTCCGCTCGCCGCAGCGGGGTTTCCCACACGCAACTTTCCTGGGGAACCGAGAAACCGAGTTCCGTAGATCCGGTTTCATCACAAACTTCTCCCGCGTCGTGGGAAGGGCGGTTCGGAGGAGAGAAGCGGAACGGAGATGGAGTAGGGGAACCTTTAGGGCCACTCCCATCCTCCCCGCTCCGCTGCGGGCCACGCGCGTTCAGCGACGCTGCGCCGAACGCCGAGAGGCTTTGAGCGCCGTGCTGCGGAGGTGCGGCCCGGTCCTCCTCCCCCGCGGGGGGGCGCCCTGCGTCTTTAAGGCGGGCGGCGCTCTCGCTCCTGCCTGGCTCCGCCCCCTTCGTGTCGCGGAGCAGTGGGACACGCCCAGAGCGCGCGGCGGCGGCGGCCCCGCCGGTGGCGTCTCTTGGACTGGTGCGGGGAAGGAAGCGGCGCGGGGGAAGCGCCGGGTGCGGCTGCCGCTCGGTCCCAGAGATCCGCGGGCGGAAGCCGAGCGGCCCCCGGAGCGCGGGGACAAAGCGGCGGGAGGCGAGGAGCTCGCCCCTCCCTATCCCGACGCCGGCCGGGGCGGATGCGTTGCGGGTAGGCGGCGGCGGGGCCTGGGCCCGGCGAAGATGGATCTGGCGAGGACGATAATCCTGCTGTGCTCCTGGGCGGCAGGCGCTGGAGGTGAGGGGTGGCCTGGCCCGCTCGGACCGCGGGGCCTCGGCCGGGATGCGGCCTTCCGCCTCCGCCTTTCTCCCTTTCCTTCCCTGGGGCGCCGGGCCCTCTCCGCGGGGCAGCGGGCCGCCCCCTCTCGGCTGGGCCCGCTCTGCTCTTTCCGTCTCGGCTCTCCCCCTGCGGCTGGCCCGGTGCCCGAGCCCCGCTGCCGGCACGCGCTCCGGGAGGCCGAGGCGGCCGTCGCCTCCTTTCTTCGCTGCGCCGTTCTCCTTTCCCTCTCTCTCCCCGAGCTGCCGCGCTTCCCCCGGCGCTCCGCTTCCTCGGGACTTGGGGGTGCTGTGGGCCGCTTCCCTCCCGTCCGACTGCCTCCTTCCGCCTCGTCTTGGGGAGCAGCCTGCCGGGCCGGGCCTTGCGGGGTGACGGACGGAGGAAGCGGCCGTGCCCTCGGGGCGCTGTGCCCGGCCCTAGGCCGGGGGAAGCCCCGTTTTTGGGTTCTGACACAGAACGGGAAGTTTGGACGGGCTCCCGCTGCGGGTGCTTCTCGGCGTTCGGGAGCTGTGGGGTAACGTCCCGACCCGTTCTGATAGCCTGTAACCAAGGTCGAGACGCGGTAGGAAATACTTTCGGTTTTTCACGCGGTTAGATTAGTGAAGTGGATTTCGGGGCTGTTTCCTGCACAGGATGGGTGGAGCGGCTGCTTATAGGGTTTCTTGTTTGGTTTCCTCTGTTTGGCTTGGCACTTCTCTTTATCCCGGCATTCTGTGTATCAGCATGTCGGTTTGTGAACAAAGAGTTGACGCTGAATCCTGGCTTCTGCACGTTATCAAAAAGTAACATCAGAGCACAGGAGAAGTTCAGCAGGCTGTGCTTGTGGCAGTGAGGTGATGCTGTGATAATGGGCAAAGTCGTCTGCAGGAGCACAACTCATCCCGTCGTTTATGTTGTTAGAAGCAAACAAAAGATTGTCTTCATGACTTTTTCCTTGTCGCTCCTATTAAATTATTAAGAAAATTATTAGCATGCTTTTTAAGGCCTTCTTTTCTAAACTAAACTCCTGCCACTATTAATTCAGTAATTCATTAACAGTTGTGAGAGTTGTAGGCAGGCAAGTATGCTTCAAAGTTCACAGCATTTTAACTTGTCAGCTATGCTCTGCATATGTAGAAGTGACTTCATGAAATATATTTTGTTCTGGAAGTTTGCATTATAGTTATTTTCTTTGAGAAAACAATGGGCACCTTCAGTGTTCTTGGCATTAGGAAGTAATCCTTGTTTTAGTTGCATTCAGTGTTTGACAACACAGAGCAACCTTGAAACAGCTTGATAATGCTGGGTAGGAGCCTAGGAACGATGGCTGATCTGCATCTTGGCATAAAGCTTTCCTGGGGGAAGTTTATTGTGACTGTTGAATTGAAGTTCTTTTAATACTAGAAGTATCTATTAGCTTCTAATTATATTTCTATAATTTCTTAAGTACTACAAGTTATTACTGAAAAACAGAGTTCTTCATTTAAAAGACCTTCTTCTGGGAGTGTTAATCCTGGGGAAAAAGAAAAACATCAGGTTCATTGTTGTTATCAGTGTCACTGTGAGAACAATTCAAACTGGAAACAACTGGGAACAAAGGATACCTGTGCTCAGTTGTGTATGGCTCCTCTTGTGCTCACTGGTTCTCCTCAAATCCTGAAGCTAAGTAATACATCTCTTTGAAGGTGTATAGTTTGAAACCATGCAGGTACTTGAAATGTAGAATTTTCAAAATAAGTTCTTAGTCCGTACCTTTTTCAATTGTTCATCTGTACATCTAGACTGTGTTGTGATAGGAACATTTTTCTGAGATACCCAAGCGTGTTGAATCCTTTCAGAATTACTTAAGGCTTTGTCTATCTGCTCTTGTTTGTGCTCTGTTTTAACAGTCTTCAGTTAATGTTAAATAGCACTGGATTAACAGGACTGGTGGCAAGCTTAATTCACAGTTTGTGCATCACAAAGTCAAGCTCTTAAAATATTAAGATACCATATAACTTTTACTTGTGTACTGTTTTATTTGATGATTTATTTGAGGAGAAACATCAGAGTCATTTAATGCCTTAAAGAAATGTGTTTCAGTTAATTGGAAATCTGGAAGTCAAGTTAAAGAAACTCAGTCAAAAGTGATCACTGTGTGAGTGAGGTGTACTGCAGTGTCTGTTATGTCTGTATAACCATCAGTTGGGGTTTATGGTTAGAAGTTACCAGCAGGTCAGTTGGACAGGACCTGAAGCACTTCCTTGATCACATTCTGATATTAGATGACTTTGGGGGCTGCTCTAGAAGTTTGTTTCTTTACTGTCACAACTTTCATAAAGCAGGAATCCCAGCTGGTCACTTTGAATACCATTTCAGTAATGTGAAAAGAAATAGGAGAAAGGTAGAATTTATCTTAAATAGATGCATATATCTTATGCTTCTAGTACGTAGTGCTTGGAAATTTTAGGCTTGCGTAAAACAATATATGAAGTGAATCTCTGTTCTTCTTTGACACTCTCAGACTGTGACAGAGATCTGTTCTCTGTCTATGATCTGTAATTTTGACAGGTATGAACAAGTTCTTAGTTGGGGGCAATGTCCTTTGTGACTGTTTCATTGAACGCAACAAAAATGCATGCAAGCGTATTAAACAGTACATAATTGTAAATAATGATGCTCTTTAAGGAATGAAAATGACTGATAAAACCTGTCTGAGGGTGATTTTTAGAAGTGTGGAAATAGTGCTAGGAAATGTGAAGAAAAAGAAAAGAGAGAATGAGACCCCAGAAGACAAGAGTGGCCATGCTCTGGCCTGGCTGGTCAGATGCTGAGTATGATTGCAAATATATTTGAAAGATATTCTGATACAATACGCTCCTCTATGTTTTAGGACATTTGAGCTTTTGTGTTTCAGTGCCTTGTGCTGCTGGATATTGAACAGTCTATTTCCTGCTGTGCACATGAGAAATTCTTTTCTGAACACATGAGGGAGTTGTGGGAAGGCATTTATAAACTGTCAGCATCTGAGTGGTTAAGTCTGCATCCTTGCTATAGATGGAGAAGAACACCAGCCTTCATTAAAATGGCTTTCAGCCTTTAGCACGTATCGGGGATTTACAATTAAAGCACTTGAGATTTTATATGGCTGCATGAGATGGTGTCTGGTAAAGGCAGCTGTCAAGTTATTTCAGAAATGCCCGTGGCGATTAAAAATGAATAAGATCAGGTGTATATATAGTAGTTTTGAAATATTGCCACCCAAGAACCTAAGGCTGCAGTGTATTATGGCTTTTAAAAGGATCTGAAGGTTCAGTGATGCAATAAGAAGGCGCCACTCTATTGAGCTACTTACTGAGCTGGTGCCTGGTGGTCTTTCCTTGGTCATGCACTTCCACTGCTCCTCCTTTGCTCCCTCTGCTGTTTGATGGCACGAGGAACCAATTCAGCCTGCTAACTGAAGTGGAAGAAATGACTACTTTCTTGCCAGACGTTTAACCTTGCTGCTTTATTGTGCAGGAACAGGTTCAGGAAGAGCATAGGAATGGGAGAAAAGGAGGGT